AGTCAAGAGCATAATGTGCAGATAAAAAAGGTGGAAAATAGCCTGCCACTCATTAGCATGCAGCGCCTGCCTGTTCATTTGCTTGCTGCGAATGAAAGTTCTGACACTCAGCGCCTTGTGCAATACGAGAATAGTCCTCTTCAGACTGCCTCGTGTCCTTACTGCCATGGAAAGGTCATCAGCAGAGGTGTGCGCTCACCAACCTGGCTTGCTGCTCTTCACTGGCCCACCTGGGAGAGGGGTTAGCTGGGGGTATTGATTCAGGGAGAACCTCATTACCTGCTGAATCAACATATTATTGCCATGTTTCACCCAGCCGAATTGTTTACAAGTGTCTTTAGTGCGGGCAAAAGCCTGCTCTGGTGGGCCACGACCGCATTCATTAGTCCCTGACCCCGATGATTATGTGTTATCTGATACGCTGCTGTCTGGCTTGGCCGCATGAGCAGGGCCACTGGCCTGCATCGGCCTTGGCCCATTACAAGCCCTCTATTTTTTCTCTCTCCATTTTTCTCTCCCTCTCCCCCTCTCTTTCTCTATCTCTCTTTCCCTTCCATCTGTGCTCCCTATGAATGTATCCATTAGCCTGCCGATGTGTAAATTGTTTTCACCTGCACTGCGGGCAGATGGGGAGCAGTGTCTCTGTCGTGATTTCCTATGCATGAGCTTTCTAATCAGTCAGAGAGTAACACGATTCCCTTGCTCCTTGCTAGAAAAAGGTGAGCTTTCGCGAGCGTGCACACATACATTAGATGCATACACACTCACGCACACATGTTCTCGCACTCACAATCTGCGATCAATATGCACGCTGTGTTGTGGGGATATTGGTGCAGCAGTAGCAGTGGCAGGGTTCATTATATGAGCTCGCCTTACATCACTCTGATGGCTTAATACAGAGGAGAGGGCCTGGGCCCGAGCTGATCCTTGCCTCAGCCATTCCTCATTTCAGTTCAAATCGAAGGATAATTTGACCTGGAAGACTAAACCCACATAAGCGCAATGACATCCAGCAGCAGTGTCAACAGAGTGTGACCCGCGGAAGAGACAGGAGAGGATGCCCCTCACGCAAACAAATAAAAGCATTCCCTAATGCCTTACTGTGGATGTGACATGTGCCCTGTGGGCCTCTCCTAGAGAAGGGGGTCAAATGGACCACCCAGGTCTGGATGGGCACTTTGTGTTTAGGAAGGGATGCTCATATAATAGCATGTCTATTCTGGCTACTCAGAAAGAAAGTTACAGATCTTGGTAGCATACTTTCAAAAATGATGATACAGTATCAAAACTGCTGATTACATCTACCATGATTTTTTGTTTTACTGTATATGCAATGTTTTTGCAACTATGCTGCAAGGCACAGTTAAAATAGACCTACACCTTCCATATTATATACAATAGGTGTAACATTGCTGTAACATATTCAAAACCTGGGTAGACATTAGTTCAAAGGATACTGAAGATAAGACCAAAAAACAACACAAACTACCTGCTATTAAGAATCACTAATAGGCTTCATTTCAGTCACAAGCTGCATGACACCTGGTTCACTTCCACTGAGACTGAGCTGATAAACATGAAGGTGGATGGGCACTGTTTTAACAAGGCCAGGCATCACTGTAATCAACCAGGCCCACTACAGGAGCAAACATCAAACCCTGGCTGTCAGACGCCTGACCCAAACAGCCCAGCCCACATGAATCTCATCATCTGACAACCACACACGCTGCCCTTATTCACTGCTGCGTACCACGCCACCCCTGCTATGAGCTGTCGGTCAAACTCCAGACTCACAGACTCCTGTCAAACTGAGAGGTGATCCTCTCCTCCCTGTCTCTCTCCCCCATTGACAGGACATGCCCACGGACCGTGAGCGCGTTAAAATGATTGGAAAGAGTTTGGATGAGACTAGTGGGATATGCCTGCAGTAAAGAATAGCAAAATTAAAGAAACAGAGAATGAATTCACTCTGCAAACCACGACATCACAAGGCGTGCGTGTGCTAACAACAGGCCACTGTCATTAGACCTGGGAGTCTTTGTTGAAAACCACACTGAAGCATTGTGCTCTCAGACAGCACTCGAGACTGCCCTGATGTTTATTCAAATAACCAACAAGTGCAGCATCATGGTGAATCTGATCTCCTCACTCATCCTTAGTGATAGTAGAGACAAAACCTACAGAAAATAATTTTAAAGAAGCAACTCTCAAAAATGTTCACAGTGTGTCTTAATACAGCTCAGCACAATTTAATTTCTTCTTAAACCGCAAATGAAAAGGCAAACATTGGAAACTAGTTCCCCTCCATCCCATTCTATTTATGTTCTATGAAAGTATAAAAGGGATGTGTTGCAGCTTTTCATCCACTTGACAGCACTTAACTAATTGCTGTCCTCTGATAGACAAAAATGTACTCACAAAACACAGACACACAAATAAACCATACGCAGGCACACAAAAATATAAAGATTAGACTGTAATATTTTGTATCCTTTTTAAAATTTAATCAGATCTGGTTTTGAACGGATACTAATATCATCATCTAGACACATTTAATCTTTTTAATATAACTTTGTGAAAATCAAACTATACGTGTGCCAACTACAAGTGCCTACTCTTTGAAACGATTATAAAAGCCCGGTCAAATCTCTTTTGCTAGTGGTATCAGCCAATTATAGAAACAAGTGACCATTGAATTAACACATGGAACTTGAAAGCTTTTGCACTCTGATGTAGAATGCTCTCTGGAAAAAATATGTCAGACCTTAATTTGCGATTTCACAGGGTGTCACCTGAGCTCTAGGCAAAAATGGGCTTTAACTCAACAGAAACACAATGGCATTGTAAATGTTAAATTGTGTTGATAAATGTCACAGTTCTTCTTCAGCATTTTTGTAAATGCTATCCAGACAGAACTCTGAATGAATACCAAATGTTCAGAATAAGTTCATTTTAAACTTGCCACAATAGGCAACTCTTACTCCTTTCTTCTTCATAGATGAGAATTGAGGATTTGCATTAACCCAAAACACTGCTTCAGTATCTAAGTGATAGTGAAAGGAGTGAAGGGAGAGCCATGAAAACCAGTGCTGTGGAAGAACAGCCACAAAAGGCAGATAAACCCAACACCACAGAGAGGTGAGCCAACTGTTCCAAGTCTCACACAAGGGGAGGAAGAAAAAGCGAGGGGGCGGAGAAGATAATTTAGCATTTGTGTAAGCTGTTTATCAAATTATTAACTGCACAGATGTTTCTGACTAGCTAGGGGCTGAACATGGGCTCTGCCAGGCAGGGGAACAAAGGTCTGACGGATTCAACGGAGATGTGCACTGAATATCAATTTAATTTACTAGCTGTTCATTCTCATGCAAATTGTGACCTCTGTTAGGGCATATCAATGGCCATACACATTGTATGTCTTCAGAGGAGCAGCAGGCAGAAACACTGTATGAAACTACAAATAGGGAAAATAATATTTTCAGTGGAGCCATTCATGTAGTAAGATTTGAAAAATGTATGCATGGCACTTTTTTGTTTTTACTGATAAACACTTGGAAAGACTATAGTAACTCTTTCTGTGTTTATTTTGGACCATTTGGGTTATATGTGTTTTTCGAACTAGGAAGGAACTATCATGTAGATAATTCACTGTAGAGTTGAAATAAATGCTGTTGGGAGATGCATAGATAAGAACACAGAGAGGAAAAGGCAAAATAAATTATGAGTCCTTCAGTTTTTCTATGCAAAATGACTGAAATCATAATCACCAACATGCATTAAATCACAAGTTGAGTCCAGGCCTTTCACCTTAATTGGAGTCTCTTTACCTTTGATGCAATCTCACTCACGGTGTCAGAACATCTTGAAGAGTTTTTTGCCTGAAACACAAAGTAGGGCAGAGCAACACAAGCACATTAAACCGTGGTTGTGAGTGTTGTCTATATTGTGAACAATAATGTAATAATGAAAATTCATGAAAATAATCATGAATGCCTAGTATGACATCCAACAAAGGTTGATCACTGTCATCAACCTCAGCTAAGCTCAGCTGGAACGGCAAGTCCCATTTTCTTCATCACCTCCAAAGTACCGCCTTTCAGCTCTCCACAGCAAAAATAAAAAGCCTGGCAACAATATCAATTATACATGCAGGAGGCAAACAAGGGGATTTATTTCACAACAAATAGCCTCATAGAGAGATGCTGAATAGGGCAGATTAGCATTAGAAAAGGACAACAAAACTCCCCAGTTCAACAGCTAAAGAGCAATTTGATGGGACTGGAATTGGGGAAATTGCTTGATTAGGGCATGCATTTGGAGGGGCTGTCAATTTCTGAATCCCAGCAAGGATATGTAGTGTTGTCGCTTTGACGAAATGACACGCTGCTGCAGTCAAAACATGACATTATGAGAACTGTCAGTTGTGCCCTTTGATAATGCAAGACAAGATCAAGGGATGATGCAGCAGCCAGTAAGTAAATGAGACATCAATCTGTATCTGATAGAGAGGGGGGGAGCTTATCAAATAAAGACAAAGAAAGACGTTTTTGATGGTTGGTATTTAGCCCAGTCAGGTTAGACATGTTTTGCAATTTTAGTAAATGGTAGGGTTTTCTGAACTGTGAGGTCCCATTTCATTTAATTTATTCTTCATTTTATTTAGTGTAAAATAGGTTTACCCCACTAAACAAGATATGGCATGTACATACAGGGCAGTTAAAACTATAAGGTTAAAACTCATGTTTAAGTCTATAAAAATGGATTCTGTGTTTCCGTAAATGTTTTAAGAGTAAGAGTTTGTTGGAAAACATACTGTAATTTTTCTTCCCCAACATTTTATGAGACTTTCGTGACCGACCTTTTTTGTCGAAAACAACATAAAAAACTTCGCACAGTTTACGTTAGTTTACAAAGAGCAAGAGGAGAGCTCGCGCGCGTACTCGCAACACGTGCTCTCTATGTTTATCAGCAGGGATTTCTGGGAAGCGGTGCTCATGGTAACCAACGTAAACACCACCAGCCACCCTCCTCCTCCTCCTCCTTTTCTTCCTCATTTCCCGTTCTCGGCTCTGCAGAAGCGCCAAAGCATGCGAAAATGAACAGCACGGTTCGCAGCGAGGACCAGTATTATGAAAAGATAACATCGATTCAACAGAGCATGCATGAAAGGTGAGTGTTCGCTCTCTTTTGTTCACGGGAAGACGGCCTAGTGCAGACCGCGGACTCGGGTTGCGACCTGTGCTGCCTGGAAAGCCGTCTCCTGCCGCTTGCCACAGGGAGATAACAGGCTAACGTTAGCTACTTAGCTAACCGGCGAAGACAGAGTAGACGGAGATACTGCAGTGTAGCTAGCTTACTACGTTAGTTCATTAGCCCAAACACCGCGGACGCTACATTTAGCTAACAGCAATAACGTTAGGTGGTTGTAGATGAATGGAAAGCCTGAAATCATTAACGTCTGCATATTAGTTCACATGAAGCTAATGCTCGTGCTTTTCTTTATGTATCAACATCAGCATAACATTACCCATGTAGCTAAATCGTATATCAACATTGATTTTAACCTTCGTTGGATAACTATGACCTGGATGACTGAGAATCTTCATAGACATCAACATTAGCCTAACGTTACGCATTACAGTTGGTTTATGAGTAAATAAGTTATATACCGTAAGTAATGTCGCTGTTAATTAGCCTAGCAAACCGGAGATGCTGCTGTAGTCTGTGCGGGTGACAGCTCCTCTGATTTTTGTATGCAGGGAGAAACGGAGGCAGGAGCTGGAGAGAGAACTGTTTGCTTACTCCAGATCTGATAAAAGAATGTAAGTTACACAGAATACTGTATACCAAAAGAGAGACCATACCTTGTTTTCATCCCTTGACTTTCACAGCGTTAACTTGAAAAAATGAGATATCTCAGTAGAGAGACCTTACTGTATATCAAATAGTTTTGTAAATTTACCATATATGTAATCAGTATAACTTGCCGCATATACTGTATAAATGCATAGCCATGTTAGTGCTTTTAATTTGAAAAAATTTAAAACGGTTCTGGTATTTGTGATAATCTGAGATTTTTATGTTTAATAAAATATATCACCATAGTACTCAAGTGTGTTAAAAGTCCATGAACCTTTGGATGTAAGCAGAACATCCTGTTTTAATTCTCGTAATGTTAACATTGCAGATCAAAACAGCAAAGCTGAGGTTGATACCAGAGTTGAGAATAAGATTTAAATTTAAAACACACTGTGCTGAACCTTGTCTTGTGGAAAGTCTAGCTCTTATTTTTTGACAATGCTCCTAGATAATATTTCTTTGGAATAATAGTTCTCCACTGCCTTCAGCTCACAGATAAAGTGTTCCAAACTGCGCAGTTATCTCAAGGAAATCAGTGACAGGGAAGCACAAGCGAAAATGAGAAACCTTGAGCTTCTGAGAGATGTGGAGTGCATAGAAATTAGCATGAAGGAATATAGTCCTGACCATGGCCCCCTGCAACAACAAAAGGTATAACACACACACACACACACACACACACACACACACACACAGTTTCAGTTGTTCAGTGGAGTCATTTTTCTCATGGAGTTATATTAAAAGCAATCTGAACAGACACTCCGCCCACTGAGGTTGATCCAGGTTTGGACAATTGGACTTTTTTCCTAAAATATTTTATTAAATTTAATAATTATTAATACATTTTTGAATACTGTGTTTAGGAAGAACACTTCTTTTAACATGTTACCAAATGTACTGTAACTTTTGAATAAGAACAATAAACTCAAAGACCTTCAATCTAATAAAATTTTTCGATTTAAAATATATTTATTAAAGAAGCACATTTATGCACATTTTCCTTTATGCTGTGGTGTAATTTTAACACAGAGTAGAAATATTTGCTCGCAATTGCTTGATGTGACAATAGTAAACACTCAAACAGTGCAATTTATCACGACAAGCAAATGAACAAGGGAGAAAACAATGAGCCAGTCAGATTATCACTTAAAACTCAACGACAGTGCTTGACAGCTTAATATCAAATTAACAAAATTGGCTAATTATGACTCGCTGAGTTAATTGCCCAATATAGAGACTCTGAAGTGCTCCAGAGGTTTAGTGATTCTCTCCCCTCAAGCAGTCGGTTTATTTCCTCTTGATGCTTTGTGAGTCCTGCGTGTTTGTTGTTATTTTGGTTGTCCTGTTGATCTCAGTATCCATTGTATAAAGTCATTTTTTCTGGTTTAACTGATGCTTTTGGTAAAATGAAAAATATAAATTCTCAAATGGACTGTGAAGTCACACACACAAAACATTCAAATAAAACAGTGGATAAATCAGAACGGTGTCTTATTAAAGGTCTGCGTCTGTAAACTGCCATGGTTTTGATGAAAAGGTGTGGCACGTGTGAGCTAATCCAAGTGCCTTTAGAGAGGCCATTAGGTTTTTTAATTGGAGTTGGGATTAAGGCAGTTAGTCTGGGCCGGTCAGATAAATGTTAAAGGCTGTCAGCAGCTACACAGAGGACACTCACTTGGGATAACCCGTTGTGATTGACTGATGCTTGACGTTGTCACTTTTGCTTTCATACCGTCTGCTTTTATACCACATGCAGATAATATTCAGCACCACTATCACAGCATTATAACAGACAATTCCTAGTGTTTGCATGCAGTGTCAGTTTACCTGCCTCATGTCGGTTAAATATTATGTATTATTTTCTGTCTATCTATCTATCAATCAATCACCTATCTACTCATATCTTTGTGTATCAGTCTGTCTTTACATCTCTTACAGGCTGACTTATTCCAAAGGATTTCCAGATTTATGGAAGCAAGAAAGAAAATGGAGCGAGACCTTGACGTAGCAAAGGTAATGAAAATATGTGCAACTAAATGTGTATTACTAGTATAGTAATAAGAATAACATTCACGTATGGAAGTAACATATTTGTACATCATGTTTTTTACACATGTCACATCTTCTACTATTTATTGTGTGATCTATTGTGTGCGTGTTTTACACATATTCTTGTATGATTGAAAAATGGCACTTTTGGCGTTTTTTTTTTTTATGTTGGTTCCTTCTTTTTTGAAATGTTTACAAGGTTTATGCAAATCTCAGTTCTATCAAGCTGTGTGTTTTCAGGTTTAGAATAACAAAGGAAAGTAGACATTATGCCTGGTAAATCTGTAGAGGAGTCTACATTTAAACTGTGTATCTGTAATAGCACAGGTGTCTAATCCTAGCTGGTGCATCTGTACAAGCGATGTAGTTCAAGCCCATAGCTGCTTTCTCCCTTCACTTAAAGCAGTTAAAGCTCTTTTAGATGAAATGTCTAAGACATCTCATAATAACTTGGAGCATGCTGTCTAGAGCAGTCACTTGTAACTGTGTGCAAAACCCCCGTCAGCCTGTCGATATTGTAATGAGCAAAATGGTACTGTCGCTCCATTATGCATACAAGCCATTGGCTGGCAGTGTGCATGTCCCTCAGGCTGCAGCATTCATTAAGGGAAGCTTACCGGGCTGAAAGCTGGAGACAGATGATAACGGGATATGATTTTCATATTTAATACATTCCTTGGAAGAGCACACGCGTGCCGCAGATTGATAGAAGAATCAATTGCTACTTTAGTGAAACACTTTCTACTTTGCCCTGCAGCTACCGATGGAATCACTCAGCCAAGAAATTAACTTTTCCTCTTTTTTTACCTACTTTGTGGATCTGCTGGGCAGGCTGCATGGTTTACAGTGAATGTTATTAAGCAGCTAACTGTTTGGTATTTAAGACGCTTATCAGAAAAGAAACAGAAGCCATGCTTTTTGTTATTATGTTTGGAGGGAGGCTTTTTTGCTTCACTCTCTCCCCCCTTGGTGACATTGCAGACATGAATCAAAACTTGTCTAAAGGATTTCTAATAAGATGAAAAGTTAAAACATTGATCCTGAGACATTCTTCTGGAAGATGTTTTGAAAAGAATTCTGACCTTGGCTCAAATAAGCTAAACTCATTCAAAATTATAAATTGGATAGTCAGCTATAGTACTTGAGTTGAATTTCTTTTGAATTAGACTTATTTAACCAAAGCAAAAGAATTGTGTTCATACCTAGCAAAATATAATTTTTATGAGGTAATGGTAAGTTTTGTTTCTAAAAATGAATATATTTTGTTGATTCCCATTTTTGCAGGTTGAAGCTGTGCATAGACAGCACCAGGGCAGCGTCCTTTCTCACCCAGCCAAGGATTTTACAAAACCACCAGTGGTAATTTTAATGGGCTACGAGACCTTCAGACAGCCTGACGCTGAAACCGGCACCACAAGTGTACACTCACACCAAGCATTGCATCGTTCACCCAATCGCAGCATGCACTCCCGCGAACGTCTACGAAGTGGCCTTTTGAAGGACTTCAGAGTTGGCGGAGAGGATGCCGCCAGCAGCCGAGCACATTTATCAGATGACATTTCAGGCTCAAACGATTCCCCTGACGGCTGTAATTTGAGTGACAAACATGATAGAACGGTAGCGGTGCTCCCATCTGTTCGTGCCTTAGCAGGTGCAGCTGGAAATGTGCCATTAGGAAGTGATGATGAACAAGAACCGTCACCTCTGGTGACCTTGACGGGGCCTGAGAAGAATACGTCTCCCGGCAGCAGTAGCCTGATGAAGGCTAAGAATTCCTTTGCAGAACTCAACAACTCCCAAGATGGAGAGAGTGTTCTGAGCCATTTGATGCCTGAAACTTCTTTTGGAAAAGAAACTCAAGATGCACCAGGTTTGCAATGCTACTTCTTGCTTATTACCTTGTAATATCTTTTTTTAAAAGTCTCTTTACTGAAATTGAGAGTTAAAAGCACTTTATTTTCCCTTTTTGAAGATTTGAAATAAGCTCACGTGATGCTTTGCTCTATGTTCACATTCAGGTAGAGTGTGTGAGAGTGTCAGCACACCAAGCTCTGATGTGCAGTTGTCAGAGAGCAATGATCGTGACCTGTCTATTTCCCTGACACAATCTGAGCTGGAAGAGGATCTACCAGAGGGTGTGGCACCTGAGAGGAATGCCACTTCTGGACGTATTGATGATCACAATCAGCACAGTCCTGAATCATCCCTCCTCTCTGATTGGTCCAATAACAAACCAAAGTTAAACTGTGAATCAGCTCCCACGGTGACATTTGAAAGGTACAGTATGTATGACTTCTGTGCTTTGTTGTCTGTATTTGTCAAAACGCGTCAACTGTGAAAAACACAGACATTGCCAGGATTGCTTTTCAGCACATATGCGTCTTAAAACCATGCACAAGTCACACATAGTCAGTATTTTTTCCCCAAGATTTAAAGCAAAGCAAGCTGAGAAAGAGAATGTTCTGCATAGCCATGTTGAACCACAGAGGGCCGTTAATGATAGGAGCAGGCGAAGACACCATATAGCCACCATCACATCAGAGGCTGACAGAGAGGATTGTGGGAGTCACGGTCCGTGCCACCGTGCTCTCTGTAGCACAGTAGCAGCTGCGGTGGTGGCAGTGATGCATCTTATAGGCAGAGCTCAGGACCTGTCACCAACAATATTGCCATAATCCAAGATAATGCTGTAACAGAGCAATTTTCTGCTTGAGAGACCTCAGGAAGTCCCCAGTGGAGGAGGAAATTTGTGGCACCATAGAGTGTTCTGGAGGGTGGGCATGTGGACAGCACTTACAGCCACAAATCCTTAGCGTGATGATGGCCTCTGAGTTGAAGGATCATTTTGGATGGGGTTAGAGCCACACAAAATCCCGTGTGAATGTTTGCGCCCAAAGCCTCCGCATTTCCCTGCAATATGCAGTTTTTTATGAACAGGACCTCTTATGCTCTTGAAAAAGAAGAAGAAAACTTTATTTGGTGTGTAATTTCTGTGCTGTTTGTCCTTGGGTTATGCACATTACACAAGTACACTTGTTTACTATTATATGCTTTATTTTTTAGTACACAGTTGCACGTATGCACACAATAATGTTATTCAGGTCCAAACATATTACCCTTTTATCTACGGTAATATATAAAGAACCTTTCTATATCAAATGCTTTATTTAAAATTATGGTCTATATCTGTATCAAAAGAGTAGTATGATGAATTATATTTTCTCTCTTGAAAGTATAGTTATGTCTATTTGTTTGTTTGTGCTTGACTGTGTTTCTGTGTGGTCTACTGTACTGTTTATAGCGCGACCTCAAGAGGAACTGCAGTTAGCCTGTGCCGGGGATATGATGGTGGGGGCTGCAGCTTTCATTGTTAACAGGGAGGGCTTCTGTGTATGAGGAGAAAACCAGAGGCTTTGATGTAAAGCTCCGAGAGCATCCAGTCTGTATTTTTTTCTTTCTCTCTCTCTCTCTCTCTCTCTCTCTCTCTCTCTCTCTCTCTCTCTCTCTCTCTCTCTCTCTCTCTCTCTCTCTCTCTCTCTCTCTCTCTCTCTCAAGGTTAGAGTTTATATTGCTCCCTCCATTCAGCTCACAGTTGGGGAAAAACAAGCCTGGGAAATTCATTAAATTATCCCATTCTATTTCTCCTCCAGCATGGCTGGGATGAGTGAGAGTATATGACTGAAATATCCTCCAGGTTCTTTCTTTCAAGACTCATCATAAAGGCCTTACTGTGTCCTGCTCTCAAAAAATGTCGTCCCTGAACCACATGATGGCCCGATTGGTGATGGCATGTCATACAATTAAAGTTGAATTAAATTAAAAATCCAACACAGGTCTAGAGGTAAAATTTATATGTTTTGAAATACGGTAATATATAAATAATTTGAAATATCAATTAGGGAATCATGCTTTTTTTTTACAGACATTCGTCAGTTGTGTTTTTTTTTCTGGTTTTAAATTCTCAGTGTTATTGCACATTGTCATACAGTGCTTTGTACTGTATTAACTGTGTGCTCACAGTGCAGTGTGACACACCCCATATTTGATCAGGCTGTCCCTGCACTCAATGTGTTGTTATTACTTGTGGTATATTTTTCCATTTCTTTGTTTATTATATTTGCTGTCTGGGCTGGCACAGTGAGATCTAACACCAATCACTTAGCGGTGAGGCCATTCCATGTGGTAAATCACCCCGGAGTCAGTACTGTACACTGTAGAGCAATATCGCTGCAGAGAGGCTGACCTCTTCCTCCTAGCTAACAATAAGCTCCTGATGATGTCGACATGCCGACAACAGCAGCATCTAAAGTGAGGTTGGAGACCTTGACATGAAAGCTGGCAACAATACAATGAGGGAGAGAGAGGTTTGGAGAAAAAACACAACTAATTCCCTCTCTAAAGGTCTCTTTTTGAAGAGCATTGACAAATAAAGTGGAAAGAGAAAGATGACTATTTCAAGGCCCACGCTGACGATAAGGGAGAGAGAGAAAAAAGATAGCGCTTTTGCCTATGCTACTTCAGCCATACTGAAGAGGACTTAGCACAGACGGATTGCACACTACAGAATGTCATGGATATAATTCAAGCTGCCAGCTTAATCAGGATGTTACCAGGAAACAACCTGCAAAAAAGAAGGAGCAATTGTTTGCTGACCCCTAACCCAGGAGCCCATTACAGATTGTCATAAATTCTTTTTGGCCCCTTTTATGTAGGGGGCTCAGGATCTCTCGGCTTGGGGTTTCTGGGAGAATTCAATGAGGGCCACCCAGAGCTTAATGCCCAAGAAAGAGATGGATTCCCAATATCCACATGCATTAGGCATCCATTTCTCATTTTGTAGCAGCACACAGGACCAGATTAAAGTGTAAATCTCTCACCAAAAGAAATCATCTTGAGGCCCCTCTTTTTTAGAGCCTTTTTCCATACATGTGAGATGGTGTTAGTGGTAGTTTTACAGAGTTGTTCATATTTTCATTTTTACATTTTTTATAATCATATTACATATTTATAATTAAGTTTATTTAGCCATTTAACTGTATAGCTGATTTAAAGGTTTACTTCAACAGTAGGCATCTAATTCTACAAGCTCTGGTTCTCAAGCTTGGTTTTGCAAGCTTTCCTTTACAACCTGTGGCAACATCAACAGACACACTTTGTATTGTTGAAGTCCTGTATTGTGGCGGTAGCATTCTAATGATCAAATTCCTCCAGCAGTCCTTGAGTACCTCAAGGAAAATGCCTAGGAAAATGTACCACTGATTTTTGGATCAAATGGCATCCTATTTTCTCTTTTTTTCCTCTTTTTTTTCCTAACAAATAGCAGGCCTATCGATCACATGGCCTCCTCTATGTTCATTCACCACGTTAATGGGTATTGTGTTTTTAGTCTCTCCCAGGAAGGACTCTTTAACCTGCTAGATAACATCGAAGGACAACTGGATGGTGAACAAACCCGTGTGTATGGGGATTCTCCAATTGATGGAAGACAACTGACTAGAATTATCAGGTATGTCCTTCCTGTCTTTCTTCAAACTTCCTAATCTTATCTCTCCCTGTCTAAACTAAATCAGTTTACATTTATTTAATAGCAATCAAGCCATTTGTGCAGATGAGGAAAACATATTATCCTTCTGCCAAGGGCTCTCACTTTAGATGAAGTGTCATCACCAACATGCACACGTCTTTCTTTCTGAGGGTTTTTCAAACACATGGGATTGTTATAGTAACCACCCTGTTGAATTGTTATTGGGAGTCAGGGAGATGGAGGATGGAGAATGTGTTTCATTAGACTGGGCTTATTTTTCATGAGCCTTTTATATTTCATAGCACGATTAATTTGCCATAATTGCAGTTCTTGTTGTAAAGTACGGATAAATGTCTGGCAAAGGAAAGCATTCTCACTCTTTTTAAACCCAGTACATGCTTCTCATGAAGTACAAACATGAGTGCTGTAAATTATACATATAACATCATCTTCAATAGTGAACAGAATGACCATCTTGTGCCATGACCCTAAGTATAATGTTTAGTTTTGCTGTGATATATTAGCAAGCGTGTTTGTGTGCACTGATGTGTATGATAATACTGAAAATCGTTTGTGTGTGTGTGTGTGTGTGTGTGTGTGTGTGAGAGAGAAGTGTTAGCAGCTGTTTGACGTACTCCATGTGCTTCTGACCCACGGGCTGAGCCCAGGGCTCCATGGCAATAGCTGACTGCTCTCTATATATTGGACAGCCTTTGTAACAGTGGAGCAGGCTTGAATGACGAGGACCTTGAAGCATGTGGAGCAGTCATCCTTCATGAGCTTCAGAGGTTGTCATGGAGCACAGCAAAGGGCTGTCTGCTACCACAGGATCTAGTGGGTGCTCACCAGTCCATCACTGAGCCTAATGAAATAAGGTAAGGCTCCTGGTTTCTCTGTGAATCCAACACCAAAGACCGTTGTCAGTGTTTTTTTAGTCCATAGTTTTGTTTATTTATTTTTTTGTTTTATTCAGCTTAATGAAAAGCAATTGTGGGATTGTAAGAATAATCACAATCCTAAGCATGATCAGGTTTGATCACTTATGTAAAGCTATACTAGTAATGTAATGTTTTCGTAATGTTTTTGTTGCAGAACTCATAACATAAATTTGCATAATGTTACCTAAGAAAAAAACACAACTTCTGAGATGCTTGAAAAAAGGTAAACAGTTATATAATAAAATAAAATACTGTTTGTGATATAGTGTTGTATAGTGTAATATAGTGTGTGTTTTGTGCAGATAATGACATTGTAAACTCCTTTAATTAATAATACTACAATAGAGTAAATCAGAGAACAAATATCAATGCTCTTAAAGAGTTCAATCCACATTTCTTTTCATAGAGCCAGTGAACACACTTACAGTAAAGGTGAATTCCATTTTTCCTGACAAAGAGTGGGCTTACAACAGCCGCTGAGTTATTGCACGCTACCATTCGATACAGTCTCCGTTGTGAACAAATGTAAAGGTCATCTTTGGTGTCACCTCGTACGGAAACACTGCACGGGTGAATGTCATGAGTAAATTAAAATGCCCTATCTGTGACTTCCAGTCCTTTTGGATAATGAGTAGTTATACTCTGAGCCAAATCCATGCTCTGCTTCACTACTCTATTGATTTCTCTGAGACCTTCCCTGCTATATACTCAATCCACAGAAACATCTAGCAGAGTCCCTCCCTTTCTTGCGGCTCATTGACATTTTATTCAGTGAGCTATATTGCTGTCTGAGTCTATTCAATGTTAAAGTGTTTTAAGATGGACTAGCAAGCAGCTTTTTGAGAGTGCTTTATGAAAAAATTGCTTGACAAATGTATTATATTCTAATTTCTTCACCTAATGGTCGAACTTATAAGCTAAGCAAAGAATCGTTCAATGTAATAAGGTAAAATTAAGACATATTTACGGATGTCCTACTTTTTATTCAATAAGAACGTCTCTCTTTCTCTTTCACCAATCCCCCCTCCACCCTATACCACAGCACCAGCCTCCCTCCTGATGCTGCTCGGCTGTGGGATCGCTGGTTCAAGCACGCCCTCCTGCTCAAGGAGCGCCATGTCCTCAGCACTGAGCGCTTGGTCCAGCTGTTCACGCCGCTGCTGCTGGAGCGCCATGCCACCTACGGCCACCAGGTAGCGTTGGAGGCACACACACTGCCACTACACACACAAATAGTCGGTTGCACACTTGCATTCACAGGCACTCAGTCCCAAAAGCAAGCAGACATTAACACACACGCACATGCACACTCAAATGACTACAGGAGTAAAATGGCTTCTTTTTTTCTCCTGTCCAAAAAAGACTAGTGTTTTTGTTTCTTTGCATGTTTTTAAGAAGAGCGCTGTAGTTGGTACTGAGTGCCCTCTTTGTGTCTGGTGTTTGAAACCAAGCCCTGGCTGCCTACTCATCAGATTGCTCCACACGTTGACCTAGACAGAAGGGAAACCCTGACCCATGCGCTAATCACAAATTACAGCCTCTGCCTGGCTTCTTTCATCTCATGTGGCGTATTCATCTGAGAAACACTTGCTTTTAATTTGGTATTAACCAAAAGTATAGCCATCAGCTGGGTCCGATTGAATGAGGGAGCCATTTGAACCTTCAACGGACAGGATCATTTTAAATGTCCCACTCATTGACCTTGTGCAGATAATGCTCCATTAAACAAAGAAAGAAATTACAATTAATATTCACACTTAGAGCCCAAAGATAATGTCAAGAGATTTGTCAGGAATCCCACTTTTTCAAAAAATGTACCATCAGTTGGAATCTGCTGGAATGATCATATACACATGCAGGTTTTTGTGTTATCTAATTTTGTGGACTCATCTTGCCGGGGGTTCTTGTGGCTTGGAGATCTTGCTCCAGTGTCCCCGACGCAATGAGAGAGGCAAAGAGGGAGACTGTAGAGCCTCTTGAAAATATGAACTGACAAAAGGAAGATAGGCACTGCCATCTACATCTTTATGTCCAAGCGCCTCAGGAAAAGCCGAGTGAAAATCTTTCTCTCCCTTTATCTCTCGCACTCTCACTCCATCTATTTCTCTCTCCCTCCCTCTATTTCTCCTTCTCTCCCTTTTTTTCTCTCTCCCCTCTCTCCCTCTCTCTCTCTCCCTCCTCTCTGTCATCTCATACAACAGCTTACGCTCCACACACAAGAGCAAACAGAAATTTCCATTCACGTAATGCCACACAGCCTGGCTACCCCGACAAATGGGAGCATGCAGCTCGCATGCACACACTCAAAGAGGCCCTTTGAATATTCAAGTGCTAACAGTTGCATTCATTGATATTTAAAATGCAGTGGGTCTGCGAGAGCCCTCAACCCACGGTACATTTGACTAAATCTAAAAAAAGAACAAAGACGGATATCAGGGACAAGGATCAAGACAGTTTTTATTGTGCAGAAGCATCAAATAGCAAGTGGCAAGCTCAGATTGGCATGTGTTTTTCTCTCTTCCCCTCTCAGAAAATGAAAGCATGTATATTGTCAATGTTCACTGCGACCTACTGATAACAACTTCCAATGCACTTAAAGTTTGTCACTGTCAAAATCCTCCTGATCATCCCCTCCATATTAGTGCTCATTAAAAGTAGCAAATGGCCATCTGAGGCTGAGAGGCAGTCTTTGATCACAAAAGAGAGATGATGATGGCAGCATTTGATATGGGGGAGGGAAATAGGAGAGAAAGGAAATCGGTGTGTGGCATCTCCCTGCTCCTCATCTCCCGGAACAGCTCCTCTTAATTGTGTATCCTCATCTCCCCAAAGATAAAAAATGAGCTGGAGAGGGAGGAAGAGAGCAGTTTGTCTCAATTCTCTCAGCCAAGAGGGGAGATATCTGGAACGTGTTGCACATTAACGCCAGGGTGATTGCATTCTTTAGGCGCTTCTCTAATCTCATGGATGAGAAGAGAGGGAGAGGAGAGGGGGGAAAAAAGTGTGATTGAGAGGGAGAGCGGGAGCGAAAGTGTGCGAAATAATCTTTTTTTAAGTTAAGCGAGTGAGAGAATTTGAAGTTATTTTCTCTTGCCGTTTGAACGCACACTACAGCTGCACCTCTGTGCGAGCAGCCATGGCCAAAGTAAATGACTTGCCTAATCGGCGAGAGTTCAATTTGACACTTCCTTCACAAAATGGGAACAATTAAGAGTGTGGTTTTAATTTGTTCTGCTCGCAGGCCAAAGTGCTGCTGAGGACACTTGTGTCCCGGTCCAGTGAGGAGTGCCCCTCAGCAGAGGACGAGAGTGACTTGTCTTCTTCGTGTGGTCCTCCTCCTCTCCTGGCTGACGGCGATGTGAAGCCTGCCAGGCCAGTACAGAAGCAACAGATCCAAGGTTACTGAAGATTATTAACATGATTAAAACAGGCATGGAAAATACTAAGGAGAGTACAGTATTTGATTACTGGGTTTGTGTTATTAGTTTTAGAGGAATGGAGGAATGGCTGCATTTTCCTAAATTAACAATCAAAAAATTGTGTTGTTACAGTTGCCAGTAGATTCCTGCAAATGTCCGAAACATACTGCACTGAGATAACTCTGTCTTTGCACAGTAATATGTAAGAAGACCATTAATAGGAACAAATGAAGACTACTGCTATTTTTTTGCAAACCACCTCTGCAGAGAACTAAAACTTTCCTTTTATGAAAGAAATCAATTTCACCATAGGGCTTTTTTATAAATCCCTCACAGCCCAGTTTTCATACAGTCTTCTATTCAGAGCTAAAGAAAGACCCCCCATTCCCATTTCCATCCCTAAACTCCTTCCTCCCTGCCACTGCTTCTCACTATGCGCGTCCCTTTCTTACAGAACTACAAAGTACTGAAGAGGACAGCCAGGACGAAAGCCCTGTGGAAAGTGTTCCTATTAGAGGTAAAAAGGCATCACCGGTGCCCCAGCATTCACACTGTCCTTATGTTGTGGTTTGTTTTCTTCCCACTGCAGTGAATAATGGGCTCTTTTACGCAATGGCTGAGGCAGGATGATCAAGGTGAATCCAGGGTCAAAGTCCCACCTGAAGAGCTGTACTAGTTCTCTCTAATTATCTCCGAGAAAACACTAGCTGTGTTTTCAGCCTGGTCTGAGGCATTCTGGCAAAACTGATAATTTGCTGGCCCGGCATAATGCGGCTGCTTTAATTGTCAGGATGCCAGGGTGGGAAGCGCAAAAGATCTGTCATCGGTTCTCATTATCCTCTAAACAATACTCGGGCAAGGCTGGACTTGAAAAATACTAGATATGAAGGCATCCTGGAAACAGTTGGTGTGCCCATCCCTGAGCTGCACCTCTGAAATGTAAAGCAATCCTATATTACCCTTAGCTATCAGATTTCCTATGGTGTGTTTTATGTGTCTGCATCCCTATGGTGCACAGCCAGCAAAATGAGTCCAGTTTCCAATCGCTACACTTAATCAAAAGAGCCATAACCAGAAAAAAAAAGCAAAAAAAAAAAACATGACTAAAGATTTTTCAAGGAAAGGGTTTTGCTGCGGTGAGTGACTTCAATGTCACAATCAAATACCATGACCTTGGAACTGATAGTAATTGCCAAGACGTGCACGTCTGTATATCTAGTGGGTTTTTTTGTAACTGCATGTAAAAGCAATGCCTGTATAAAGTGCTGTGGGTGGAATAACACTGGTTATGGTGTTTAGAAAATTATTAAAAGTGGTACTTTTATAATGAAACCAAGCTGAAAATGTTCAGGATCACAATTTTGCTCTATTCTTTGATGTAATATGTTTGTTTTTAGCAACGTCATTGAGACAACAGCCCATTTATTATGTACTTCTGCCCTTTTGATTTTTTACAGCACAGTCTCTGTGCTCCTTTTAGCTACGATACCTACTTTAGTGTTTTTAAAACAGAAAATCAATCATTGCCTTCCTGGTAGGAGATGCTAAGATAATGTGAGATGCTGATTGCTGTCTCATGGAAACTGTTGCTACATACTGTAGGCTAGAATCAACAGCTTAGCTGATCGAGAATGGTGTTTTTACCCACTCTGTTCAGTAGTGAGACCAAAAGACTCAGCTACTGAAGCGTGTTGTCTCATCAAACACAGAAACCTCTGAAAGTTGGAAACCTGGGTTTTAAGCAAATATTTGACAGTTACTTTGTGCGTGTGCTTGTCTGTGTGTTTGTGTGTGTGTCCCTGTCCCTGAACAGAGACAAAAGCATATCAATTACTTAAACAATCAGCCATGCAGGACAGGCTGCAGAGTTCTGAAGAAGAGGTAGAGGAGGAGGACGACGATGGCCTCTCAGGTAAGAGATGCAGTCCACTCTACCAGGCAAGTAGCGAGCGATTGGAGCCTAACTATTGGTCAACATTTTCTTACAGCACATACTCCATAGAAAGACCATATTTGTTGTGTACATAGATGTAAGCTAATTGACAGCCAATGCTCACAGATTTTATGGCAAGTTTTTGCAACCATTTTTGGCCCATAACCTAATTTTCAATTCCAACAATAATAGCCCTCAACTTGTCATGGGAATTTGGGTGTGGTATCTTTATGACATATGGAAGAAGTATAAGTGGATTATAATGAAGCTATGTATAAACAAATATAAATATATTCACATGTGACCACGAGTGCATTTCTTAGAGACACCAACGCCAAGGTTGAGATACTGTCTTAGCTTCTCATAAGCCTTACCATAATTTCTACATTAATATGCGTTGTAGATTAGCTTGGGATGAAATGTCCAAATCAAATGGTTTTATCGGACCCTATTTGCTCTTTTAAGGAATAAATCATGGCCATGAAGAGGACCAGGGGAGGGCCAAACGCTCCTCACATCAAGACCCTTACCCTCGGTAAGAACGTTGTTATTATTCAACGGGCCACAGGAAATGGGCCACCAGACACCAAAGTGGTTGATGTACATTTGCATGGCCGCTCTCATAATTCCCTGTTCATTTCCATAAGATCAAGGGTGCGCCACCCATTAACTCGCTTACAAAGACAAAAGGCCCCTAAAGCCCCTCTCACTCACTGTTTGCAGGGTTCAGCCAGGTTTTAGAAATCAAAAGCAAAACAGCTCCCACAAAAATAAATTGGAGTCATAATCTCAGTGTCTTCAGGCTTGTTGTCAGAATGCAAACAGATCACGTCAAGAAGAGAACCTGGGACAACTGTTTTGGAAGAACGGGACTCAAGTGTTGACAAGGACAAATGTCCTTCTATTTTTCACCCTTGAAATGTATTTAGGCTGCTCAAATCAGAGTCCTAAGTGGGTTGGAAAAGAAGATCTAATGATAAATAGCTTGGCGGAAGCTAACACCATCACGGTTACATTTGAATATCAACACGACTTCATCAAATCTGCAATTGCACGTCGGGTCCTCAGAGCACCTCTTCACTGCGAACCCATTTTGGCTGTAGTAATGGCTGGGTAAACGTTATGAGGAATAATCTTCTCTGATTTCATGTGATTACCGGGCACCACGCTGACACAAGGGCTGAAGTCTATATCTCCCTGGCCTGGCAAGCAGGCGCTCCCAGTCTGCCTATTAGCCCAGGGAAGAGCCTAATGGGCTGGCTCTATTGTGATCCTCATAGCTGCTGATGTCTGCCACAGCCAGCCCCAATGACCACCCTCTTTAATAAACATGAGCCAATTTTGGGCCCAGACCCTCTCAGATGGTGCCTGTCTCCCTGTCATTAATGTGCATGGGAAGCCCGCAGTATATGTGATTAAACAAAATTTGCAGAAAAAAAAATTAGACAGAAACAGAGAATGCCGCGAGCAGGGGTGAGACTTAAGTTGTGTAAAAGTTGTGTAAAATTGGACAAATGGGTTGTTATGTATGTCTGACACTCTCATCTCAATAGGGTAAGGATGGAAGCAGCATCAAGCGTACCACGAACATCATCCTTTCTTTGGTCAAACTATGGTTTCTTCACTTCTCCTGGATGTTTAGATTTAAGCATTCCACTTACCACAGTCACTTCTTGCGCTTTATTGCTCCCACAAGTGGTCTAGAAGTCCTGCACTTAAGCAGAAGCATAACACTGCAGCATGCTCTTGCCCTGCTTCTCTCCTTTTTCTCTGTGCCTCACTCTCTCTTTCTTGCCCTTTCTCCATCTCTTTGCCCCTCTTCCCCTCTGTCTTTCTGTATCCCTCCCCCTTCCTCCTTCCTTCTTGTTAATTATTTGCTTTATTTTGTCAGCGAGCTGATGGGTGACATCAAAAGGAGGATGGAGCTGGACTCAAAATACAAAAATGGCTTCCTCGCTGTTGTCTTAGACAATAATTATGATTTGCCAGTTAAGCCTAGACTACAGCAGAGGGATTGTAGTTTAAAGCAGAGGCTTTGGTGCAAAAAATGCATTTATAGCCCTTTGTGAGGCGCCTCATTATGTGTGGGCCCGATTCATTAAGTAATTGGTTTGCAGTTGTTTACATGAGTATTAAGGCCTTCTATTCAAGGCCTTTGAGAGATACATTGTGCAAATGTTGCATGTTATGAATGCAGAATGAGAGGCGGGGGGCCAGTCCTATTGGCCAAACACTGCACTCGGCTGAAAAGCGAGAGAAAAGCACTGGGTGCTGCTTTGCATAGCAATGACTAGGGCCTTAATAAGCTTTACAGATTAAATACATGCAGTCTATACAAGATGCAAAGAGATACTCTTAACACATTTATATGTGCTCATTTCACTATTATGGCGTTTGAGAGAATTGAGGTCTTTCATATTCTTTTTTTCTCTCTCCCTCTCTTGCTTGCTCTCTCTCACACAGTGTTTTTTCATACTTTTATAGAATGTGCTGTTTATTGTATTATAACTCGTGGGGAAGCGACTGATTTGTCCATTAGAAATCTTTTGCTGTCTTTGTGAGTGGCAAAGTAAAATCACTTTGTGGTTGAGTGGGGATGAAAGGAATAATGCACGAAGGAGTGAGTCTTAATAAGCAGCTGCACTCCATGTAAAGACCACTTGTTCCCCTTTGTATGCGAGTGCATGCCACTGCTTCCTCTCGTGCAAAGAATCATTGTGCTCCTTTCTACTGTAGGCATTTCAGATGCCACTCCTTTCTTATTTTTATGTTGGGGTTTTTAATACCCCCCCCCCCCCCCTTTTGATCCAAAAAAATGCTAGAAAACATGTGCACAGACACACAAACACACACACAGCCGGTGTGATGATTGTTGTGCCTAGTGCCTGCTTGACAAAAACCTTGACTCAACAATTAGTGGTTTACAGCTTTGCCTTGGACAACAGGATGTGCTCAAGCATTCGACCTCAAATCACTCAGAGTGTCAAAATCAGAAGCGCTCTCTCTCTCTCTCTCTCTCTCTCTCTCTCTCTCTCTCTCTCTCTCTCTCTCTCTCTCTCTATATATATGGAGGCAATGTGTGTGGATCTCTGACAGCTCACTGGGAGGAGGGTTGGAGGGGTGACAGGGAGAAAGGAGGCGAGGGGAGGTAGAAAGAGAGAGCAGGAGATAGAGGGAGACAGAGAGACAGTAACGGACAAAGAGGTAGTGTAAGATGGAGGATTCCTGTTCTAAAATCCAGTGAGTGGAGGAGAACACGTGGAAACTGTTGAACAGACAATATGATAGTGAGCAGTGTGACACTTAAGGCAATAGATGCGCAATCAGGCATGTGGCAGCACTGAATCTGTCTTGTGAATATTTGTTTTACAGAATATATCCTCCCCAAAAAATAGCTCCAATATATCAGTTGATCTCCTCTTTGAGTTTAGACTAAAGAATAAGATTACAACCAGGCCAAAACAGGACAAACATGACAGTGACTATAGAAGAAGTCAGCATTTAGAGACTCCAACCAGAGGAGGTCACTGTCCTACATTGGCTGCCTCAAACCAGTAAAGAATGTCTGATTGCCCTATAAAATTAAATGGGTTTAACACTTTCTATGCTCATTTTAGTCTTGTTCATTTAATTTAGCCTTCTTATTTCCAGGTCAGTGAAAAGTCTATGCAGCAAAACCATGCAAAGATCGCTTTCTTCAAATACATTTGTTGTGATAGTTGTAAGCTGTTCAGAGGATGATTGAGGCATAAGTAAAAAAAAGATGGATTTTTTTTTAGGCATATGACATGCAATTATGAGAGTCATTTCTAATGGTGTTCTCTTTTCATTGCTTTATATTGTGGGTTGACCATATTATTAACTTCACATCCTTGAGACATCAATGTGAGTGTGTGTTGGACAAGCCAGAAAATGTTACCCTCACACAGGTTAAGGTGCACCCGAAAAATGTAACATGAAATGAATGATCTGTCCTTCAGCACTGACTGTCTCCTCTAGACTGCCACCAGTCAGGAGGAGAGCGAACTGTGTTAAAAATCATTGGCCCAGTACCTCTTCCTCTGAGTTGCAGTACTTACTCATTGCCAGCAGAGAGCACTCACATGTTAGAGAGTGCCCACTCACAGTGCACTCACAGTTGCCTCTCACTGTATGCCCCCACTGAGGGCTATATCCTGCTACCATTCAGGCCTGTTAGAGTACATCTAAACAGAGCCTAAACAATGTTTCTGCGGGGTCATAGCTGGGATGGGAGTAGGAGTTGATGGGAATGATGAGGTGATGGGTCTCCCTTTACCTTTAGACAAGCACCGCTGCACAAAAGTGCTATTGTGCTATTAGCATTTGTGTGTGGGTGGCATGAGCTTAAAAAAAGCCAGGGTAAATAAAAGCAGTTTTCATGCTATCGGTGTGTGCAAGGCAGTATTAAATGCTTGGTAAGCATTATTCCTCACATACCCTTTGTGACTAGGATTAAACTTCAAATCTGTCTTCAGTGACTCCAGAAAACATCTATTCACACAATCGGTTCTTACTTGGCAATTACTTTAAACTGCAGTTAGAAAGGATATTATATTCTCTATAAAGATGTGTTTGGCTATTGCTATTGGATATTTTGTCAATATGTCTTTCTTGACATTTAATACAGTAATCTCAACTGACCACACTTGTGTTTGTCCAATATTTGCACTAGTATTTTTTGTTTATTGTTGCACCACAGTAAGATACCTGAGGATACAGCAAAAGGTTTGGTATAGCAGAATCATGATAATGCTTTTAGTGGCAATCAAAGCTAAACGTTACAAAGAATGAAAAAGAAGAGTGCTTCACTGGATCTAAAAATGTAGAGAATAGTCTTTAACTTACACCTGAGTGCCCTGGATTTCAGTAAGCTGAGCAATCATTGTTATTTTTAACAACGTGTTTTTAAGCAACACGTCTTCACTATTCCTCACCAGTGGTTCCAATTCAATCATCCAGATATGCGATTACGGGATTGTGCTAGTTTTTTATGAACTAGTGCAGTGTCCGATCAAAACGTACCTGCTCGAAACGGGCCATTTGCTTGACTTCTAGTAGCAAAACAAAATGGCAGACTGATTGAATGGTGTCACCCAGGACATAATAAGGAATGGGCATTTCAAGCAAATATAGCATTCAACTTAATAGCAAACTTGAGATAATCAACTGGCTGCTGTCATTGCTAACAGCTAGCTGTTTGGGACCTGGCTATTTCAGTCATTATATTGCTGGTGCTTGAATTGTTTGAGTTTATCGAAGTAAAATGGCAAACTTATTTTCCTACAATGTAACATCTCCGGTCTCTCTCTTTTTTAAATCTGTTCCTAAATGTACTGTAGCGAGTGACTGAGAGCCAGGTGTAACAAGCATGTTCGGAGGTGTAACAGTTAATAGTGGTCCCGTCTCAATACACTACACAGTGTGTACTTCTGGCGGTAGTAATGCACTACTAATAAATATGTCCCGTAGATCTTAAGAGCTCACCCTGGACACTGCACATCCTCAGCAAAACACCCGCCAAGTGGGAAGTCGATCGGATGAACGGTTTTCAAAAATCGACAGACAGACGGACTCTTCCATTTTAGTTAGATTGGTAATTGGTATCTGCACTATGTATGTCTCTGCATATCTTGTATATTTACAACCTGATAAAATTATTTTAAAATATGGAAATTTAGGAGCTTTAACTAACTCAAATTTAAACCAGTGTGGCATTAATTGACAAAACAAGACGGAGATTAAGGAAAAACACTGAGAACATTAAACATGTCAACATTTCTCTCCAAGCTCCAATTGTGTAATGTGTATAAAACTCATCATCCATCCATTTTAAAGGTGGTTGTGTACTCAGCTATGGATAGCAGACACAAAAACTGTTAAAACATGAGATAAACAACAATATGAAACAATTCCAAAAAGACTGAGCGAGGCCTTGGGAAAAAGAGGACATTGCAATTGCTGTAATTTACATCATTTTACACATTTTACATTCACCTCTGTCTACCGGAGCTTGTAAAACACTGGCCAGCCCAGTCTTACATATTCAGATCATTGCCTCATTTAAGGGAAATTCAGCATAAGATGAACTGGCATAAATGTTTATGGAAACGGAATATTAGATTGGTGGGGTCAGATCCAGACTGAGCTCTCTATGGTAATAGCCCTGTCTTGAAATCAGTCCAGTCCCTCACTGAAGTGGAACAGCTGATAGACCATTCCCATCCCGGGGGGGAAGTTCAAGAAAAGAAAAGCCTAATTTACACTCTGTAACAGCTATTATTGTGGCAAAGGAGAGGAAGTAATAGTATAAATTATTGCTGTATTTTTGCTTCTGCAGGGTCTGGTCGAGATCTGTTGCCTAACAGTTGTAAATGGATGCACCAGTCCTCGTGGTTTAGCTTTGCTTCATCGTCTGTACTTTTACTCTTGTTCATTTTAAAAAGCTGAATTTGGATGTCTCTCTTTTTTTTAATGTTGATACACATATATTCCTCATCTTTATTTTTTTTTGTGCTATAGTTTTGACAGAAAAAATTCTTATTGTCATTCTGAATGCACAGAAGTTTTTTTTTTTTATTTCACCTTTCAAAAACTTCACATTCAGTGTATATTGAAACACTTAGGATTCATGCTGTATACCCAGTTTTACCTCTGGTGGTACAATCACAAAATATTATAATGTAATTTTCTCTCCTTTAAATAATTTTGTGTATGGCCATCTGTCAGTCTAGTAAAGTCAGTAAAATAAAAAGCTAACAAACGTAAACATAGCATAGTCCAGGGAGACATTGCAAACAGTACCTACCATAATTTTGGTCTCAAAATAGGCAACACAGGAAAATATTTACCATCTGCACTACTCCCCATCCACCAAAATGTGTGAATTTCACAAGATTTGTTCATACATTATCTAAAATAAGCATATTATGGCAAACAAAATCATCTATTTCAACAAAATGCAACATCATCATATGCAGTGCACTTTCAGTGTGCATGCAGATAGGCTGATTACCTGTCATTGTGTCTTTGCTTTCTTTTTTGGCACTGCTTTACTTGCTAACATTTTAAGCCCCTGAGGTTCAATATGCTGTTTGAACAGATGCAAGAATCTTCCAAATGTCCTGTAGGGATCCTATCAGCATTTTTATATTATAAGTTATAGGTCAGGCATAGGTTATATTCTAATCATTATACTGGCTGTATGGTATATTGCTTTTAGCACAGAGCAGTCTGTTCACAGTTAGGAATGGGAGTTGCATCTTTTCATTCTGCCTTGAGTAGTGCAAAGCAGCAATATATAGTTTGGAAGCAATCAGAACACAGCCAGACTAATATGGTCCTTTACACTCAATGTACAGTCACATGTGCCAAGACTTAGCTAAGAGAAGAGATGAGGAGGCGAGGGTGATCGAGAGGATGACAATCAAAAAGGTCATTGGTTTGAATTGATGCAGATGGAGGAACACACCACACAATTGTTTTTGCTTGAGCTCATCTGCTTCAAACTCTTTTTCTCTTCCTATTTCCAAGAAAAGCGTCAATACAGCTTCGATATAGAAGGTCCAAACAAATAAACCATATGGATATGTATGCTAACCTGGGAGATGATGAGGCTATATTGTGGTGTTTTGAATAGGCTCTGTGATGATGTAAATTAAAGAGGAGGCCTTTAAAAGTGGAACGAGGGGCCTTATTGCATATGCATTGAGGTAGATCAAAGCCTTTTCTGAGGTCAGACATTTACATAGTGATATCACCAGAGCTATGGGAACCTGGCAACCCTGTCTTTGGACTATCTTTCAATAAAGAGGGACTTGTGGAAGTCCTTTGGCACAATTAAAACAGGAGTCAAGGAAGTTCCTTCTGCTCCACTGTCTGCCTGCCTTTTTCCTTTTTTAAGCTATTTGTGGTGTGAAATAGCAGCTCTTTTTCAAAGAAAGCCTGGGGTAATAACTTTACAAGTCTAATAACTGTCTTTGTGCTTCCAGGAAAGAGAAGACGAACTCCAAGGCTCATTCTGTTCTACCGTCAAAAGGTGAGTGTAAACAAAGTCATTCAATTGCGTGTAAAGACACAGTGTTAAAAAAAGGTTAATTACACCGAACAGTTCACCATAAAGAGGTTGATGTGCAAACATGTATGAAATTATTGTAATTTTTGAGCTTCGCAGGAACTCCAATTGTTCAATTACGCTCTCTGTAAATGCAGCTATGCCTTTTGAGGATGTATAAATGAAAAAATGACCTTAAAGCCAATTCTAGGTTAGTCAAAGCTTAGATTTATGTTGTCAGCAAGCACTACCTAATCCTCTTACAAATTACCAAAACATTCCTGCTTCAGGGAATTATCTGTGTTCCTACATCAATAATCAAATCTTAAACATAAGCTTATGGAGATGTTGGGCTATTTATTAACTGCTCTAAATAAAACCCTGAACAAGCAATGTTAATTCTATTGGTAAGGCAGCCACACAGCTGCCTTTTGTCAATACATTTCTAAAATCTAAGTATGTCCAAAGAGTTTGCATTTCCAGCGGAGTGGTGTCAGACTGCATCCTAGTTCTTAAGGAGCAACTTTCATGCTTGTGATGAGATCACCCAAGATGCACTTTATTGCCATTAATGAACAAGACAGAGATTTAACACATATTAGACTGTATAATGGGCAGAATGTTAAAATTTTATTGTGAAATCGAATTCAAGGAAAGCTTTAGCTTCGGTGCGATTAAATGCTGGAATGCTTGTAAAGAGAGCGTAGAACTGACCTTATAAAGAAATTATGTCAAAGGTCACATTTCATTTGAACCATGGAAGGGTAAATATAATACTTTAATAATGTAATCTTGTATGTTTTTCTCTCTACCTTTTTTGTATAGCTTTCTGGGGGGAATCAGACGACAGCAACTCAGAGATTGAAGCAGCCTTGCGTCCTCGACCTTTCAACACAAACACCAATGACATTGATGACTTCTGTGACTGATATATCCCTGCAGATATTTTTTAAATGCACTATATTATATCACTGCAACATTTCAGGCAGTTTGGCTCACAGTAATTCACCCCCTGACCATTATTTTAGTGGTCTGCATTGTAAATCATATGCACACTGTATCGTAAAAACAAATAATAAAGTTGACAGCTCTCACGCTGGGTAAAGTATGTGAAGAGTTGTCCAACACTCTGATGTTAACCCTGCTTCAGTCTCTTTATCTGAACAACTCTCCCAGCTCATAATAACAGCTCGAAATAGATTAAACTGATCTTTTAAAGCGATTTGTTTGCACTAGGCTGAAAATCATGCATTTTGAATGCTGCAAGCATCTCCGAGTGCTCTACCTCCAGCATGCTCGAGTGTAATGATGTGAGTCACCTGTGAAATGACAAAGCACAATGGCCACTCTGCACGCTGCTGTGCGACCTGTGAACCTGCTGAAGAGGCCCATCTCCCAGGGCACAAAGTGTTGTAGCGATAACAAACTCAGAATATTTAGAACCTCTAACAAACGTTCTACACATATTTTCACAGCTGCTTCTTTAATAGTTGTGCTCATGCTACAGAAATACAGAGACGTATGTCTAAATTCCTCTGTATTATTGTGCAAATGAGTCACGAGTAGCGGAATTGTTGCTGAAACCACACAATAGTCTTCTCCAATTTGTGATTTTACAGCACATTGAACGTTCCGTATCTATTAATAACTCGGAGCTACTGTGTGGGAGGCTACATTCCCAAGTTTACATTTATAGTTCATTATGTCTGTAGTGTAAATTTTCAAATCTGCCATTCTGGGATGTGGTAAAAGCCCCTGGCATTCAGTGTCAGCAGGATTCCATTAGTCAGCTTTAGGTGACTTTACATGCCTGAACCTTTTAAAGTAGGACTCCACATTCATTACCAATAATGGCTTCAGACAGCCCTGACCCACCACAGAAAAGGGACTTTGGCAGAATAATTTGGAGTTTGCTAAAAGGCTCCCTAACATAATATCCATGTTAAGGAGCATGTCAACAGATACTTGTGTGCGACAGAGCTCATGGTGGAAGTGGAGTTATATTGTACTAATGTGTACTAACACACAATAACATTTTAAAAAAGAACATGTTTCCATGCGAGAGAAACGATAATATTCAGCTCATTCTTTTAAGAGGATGTGTAAGGTCTTATCTTGCAGTTAAGCAGGTGTCATCCATATAGTGACTGACTAAATTACAGTATCAGCTTTGCCACATTACTCGATCCACCAGGTTGACATTAGACAGAGGTCTGTTCTTACAGCAGCGGTTTTGTAAAGATGATGCATGTTTATTCTGATCCAATAGATGATGTCTCTGCGGAACAAGGGAGGATGGAAAATAATTGTATTTTTATTGTTACACGGCCACTTGTGATTTCAATGCAGATCATTTAATTTTGCTCCTGAAGACACAAAATCCAACTATCCTCAAAATAATCAGTAGGTTCCAAACTAGGAGTATTTTTCATAAAAATATTTTTTTTATGTGACATGAAACCTCACCTTTCTGCTGATGGATTGTAGGCTCTGTGTTATTCAGCTATGAAACACTTTACATTTATTTTAGGAAAACACTGAATTCATACAGTCCTTATAATCTTTAAACAACATACAGGTCTTAATGATCTATATTATTGTATATTAACACTGCAGCATTGTTGAGGTTTATTTTCACATATTAAAAATAAATGACAAGTAAATAGTCCACAAAGTCTCAGGTCTCAGTCTCTTTCTGAGGTCATCTGGGTGTTGTCAGATTAAAGCTAGTAGTATGATTGTTGCAGAGATTGACGCTTTTGTAAAAGTTGCCATGATTGACATTGGCATAGATTCTAAAATATGCGGTTGGGTGCGGATTAAGTTTCTTGTGTGTTCATGTAAAATGAGAAAAGTTTTTGTCTTTTTCTCAAATGTGTAATCATCAAAAATTTAGCCTCGACTGTCCTTGATCACAATAACGAATACCGCTGCACTGTAACCTCTAACTACAACCGCAGGTTCAATGGGCAGAAGCACAGTTTTTACAGCAACCTAAACAGAACATCTGTGAGAAGCAATTTCAGACTTATTTCGATTTACATTCTTTTTCCTTGAGTTGCCTTTTTTTATTGTGAAAAGTGTTGGTTTAATTTACTGCATATTATCAGCCACATTGGTTCAAGGAGAAAACTTTTTCTCCATCATCGGCTTCAAAATTGAATCAGTAGCTAAAACTAAAAACTATAAATGTTTTAGACTAGTGATAGCCCATTGCTATTTTTCATTCTTTGAATGTAAACTAGCATGATGCATTAAGGCTTATCATTTATTCACTTTGTTTTTCTTTCTGTTACCACTGTATGCCCTTATTGTGTTGATCCAAATCCCTCAGAAGAACTGGGGTGGTCCCATGCTGCCTTTTTGACCAGCTGCTGTGTTTACCATTAAGGGTGATGTTGTTGTTTGAATCTGACTCCTGCTAGTGAAAATCATTTTAGCAATATTAATATATTAATAACATGCACAACAACTACTTAGATTGGTAACATCACGTGTTTTTGCTACATTTTATAACTCATTCTTTATGTTTCCCTGAAGCTGCACATCTACTGTATGTAACAAAGGTCAAGGTCTGACACAGTTTTGTTATATGTACAAATACAATGTCTGTAAAAGCAGAGGTGGAAGAAGTACTCTTAGATCTTAGCAATACCACAGCAATACCACAGAAACTCATGGATACAAATTGTTAAAATCTTTTAAACTACAAAAGTATTGGTATTAAAATATACTTCAAGTACCAAAAGTAAAAGTAACCATTATGCAGAATGGTCAATTTAAAAATAATATATTATAATATTGGGTTGCAATTATTAATGCATTAATGTGGACATCACTTTAGGTAGAGCTCATTTTACTACTTTATATATGTTATCTGCCTGGTAGCTTGTGAATTTCCCCTGTGGGATCAATAAATGTGTATCTCAATCTATAATTTTACATCATAATTTATTTGTAAATAAAATTTTGTATTATTAATTTGAATATGCAAAGTAACTAGTAACTTAAGTTATAAAATTAATTTAGTGGAGTAAAGTACCACATTTGCCTTTGACAAAGTAGAAAATGGAAATACTCAAGTAAAGTACAAGTATTTTTAGTTACAAGGGCATTTGTACTAAATCTACTTGGTTACTTTCCACCACTTTGTTAAAATAATCTGTCGGCTGTTTGACACATCACAAACCAGCTACCAGACAGTAGGTGACGATGGTTACTAATACGTTTGGCTTCCAGTACATTCAGTTTATTAAAAAAACTAGCGAATTGTACAAAGAAAACACTTAACGGTTAGTGCATTTCAGTATTCGTGAGCCCTCCAAGTCTGCTGAATATCTTTATCAGTTTACTAGATTGTCCAGTATTAGCATCGTTGCAGTCTCGGGGTTGCACCTGAGATAATTACAAACATATCTTGTGGTTGGATTATGGTTCACCATTTTAAGAGAAATTGTCTCTTCTACCTTTGATCTTCATGTTGGATTATTGAACAATGCTGCAAAACAGTGAGTCTTTATAGAAACCTTGCGCTTTAATTATGATGCATGCACACTAGGGCAAAAAGAAATGAATCGATTAGTCATCAGTAAATTAATTTGCAACAGTTTTGATAATGATTTAGTCATTTGAGACATTTTTAAAGCACAAATTGTGAAAAGTCACAGGTTCCAGCTTTTCAAATGATTGATTTGAATGAATGATTTTTCTGGTTTTCTTAGTCTTTTATGATAACAAACTGAAGATCTTTCAGATTTAGATTGCTGTTGGGACAAAACAAGACATTTGAAGATACCACCATAAGCTCTGGGAAACTGTTTTTTAATATTTGCTGACATTTTATAGACCAAACAGTTAACCAGTTTATTGAGAAAATAAGCTGGATATTCCTGAATAATGAACAGTAATTGTTTGTTGCCGCCCTAACACCCAAATTTGATATTTATAGTGATCTGAAACATTTCTTTGTCATAAAATCTCATCGTAGCTATGCAGTACATGGAGTACAGTATATTGTATACATGATGTGTCATCCAAGTATGGCCACCCACAAATCCTGGAACAAAGATTTTAGACAAGACGAGGATACATCCATCCATCCATCCATCCATCGTCAACTGCTTATCCTGCGTACAGGGTCGCGGGGACGAGGATACATATTACACAAAATAACACAAACGTGCTTTAAAATGTGAGCTCACAACGACGACAGTGTTTTGAGTATGGAAGCCTGTTCCTTTCAGCCTGGCATACTATCAAGCACTGAGCTTAAAGCCATTCATGTTCAGTCCACATCAATTCAGCCTTTTTTTCCTCACCAATTGCTGCCATGAGTGTCTGGAAAGTTGAGAGGAGGGTCTTGCTCTCTCACAAGCCAGATTGACCTGCTTTTTGTCCAGACAACTTCCAATAAGAACTGTTCTTTCATCGCTGTCTTGCATTTGAGTCTCGTGCATGCGTCTAAATCTAAATAATGCGACACTTGTGTTACTGGTAAAAGAAGTAGTAGATTTCAAGTGTACAATGTATAAATAATCAGAATAAATGTGTAACAGTGGTTCCTTTTTGAAAAGTCTGTCAATCCTCCTCACTATTATATTGGTTATTATACATTTTTGAGGGGGGGGATGAAAGCAAGTGGCAAAGTTAAACACATTCATCAACAACGCTATGATTTTGCTCTCATATGTTTGTGTAATATATTCCTGCTTGCTGGACAAACCGAGGCTCTCGAGTGTACGCCTTCATTCTCCCCTGCCCTACTTTTATTTTTATCAGTGAATAATTATTTAGAGCAAGGTCATTTTGATCTTCTGCCTCAATAGGCCTCAATTAAATATTCATTCATTCTGATGTGGCCTCCTCTGCAGCTTCTTTGGTATGTGTGTTAAAGAGACAAAAGGCTGTTTTTGATTACACAAGCTTGGGCTTTTTTCAAAGAGATGTGGCATCATTATATAGAGTTAAACAATCTTTTTCACTGATCAACAGAGTTGTTGGTAAAATGTTTACTTTGGCTAGGATTAGTGATTTTGCCCTTGAACAAAATCTATTCCGTTTGCAAAGCTTAATCAAGCCATATCTGCAAGGCTTCTGTTCCATGTGTCATGCTCTACTGCTTCATCATGAATTTAAGCAA